ACTCAGTTGCAGCAGGAATATTTTCCAAAATAGCTAAAGGTAAGAGACATCTTTAATAGTCATGGTCCAACTCATTTATACACACACATCATAATTATTATGCATGATACTTATGCACATTTAACAACAAGTCTTACAAATTCGTTTCAACAGTATGAAAATGTGGGGTTGTCTCTTTTATAAATGGTGAAACTATCTAATAATTATATTGTCATATTATATTGTACTTATATTGATTTAATTTGTTTATTGTGAATTTTCAGGAGACATGCCGACTGGAGCAGTGGCAACGGGTAATTTAATTAAAGACATGGATGAACTGTTTGATGGAGTAAACGCGTCGACATCAGATTTAAGAAGAGGAAAAAAAATCCACAGAACAGAACATTTTTTACATTTTTTTATATTTGTGGAAAAATGATAATCAGGAGATAGTACTATTTGCGGATGACACTTCACTGTTATTTAAACTTAAACGACAGCAATCAGTAACTGATGACGTGATTAGCACTCTCTCTAAGGTTGTAAACTGGTTTAATGTTAATAATTTATTTTTAAACGAGAATAAAACGAAATGTATTAGATTTTTTACACCTAATGTTAAACAGGTAAAGACCAATGTTCTAATAAATGGAAAGGAGTTGAATCTTGTGGACACCACCAAGTTTTTAGGTATAACACTAGACTCTAAATTGCAGTGGGGCCCACACATTGACGGATTGTCGAATAGACTTAGCTCTGCAGCATACGCGGTTTACAAAATTCGTCAATTAACCGATGTAGAAACAGCTAGACTGGTGTATTTTAGCTATTTTCATAGTGTAATGTCATACGGTATTTTGTTGTGGGGAAATGCTGCTGACATTCAAAGTATCTTTGTGTTGCAAAAGAGAGCTATTCGTGCAATTTATAATCTTAGTTATAGGCAGTCACTGAGGGATAAGTTTAAAGAAATTGGTATCATGACAGTCGCATCTCAATATATATATGAAAATTTAGTGTATGTAAAGAAAAATAATCATTTATTCACAAAGTTTAGCGACATGCATAAAATAAACACTAGAAATAAAGATAAACTCGTGTTACCAACCACTAGACTACAAAAAGTAAGCAAGTCTTTTCATTGTCAGGGTGTGCGATTTTACAATAAAGTGCCAAGCAAATTCCATGAATTAAGTATTAATAAATTTAAGTCTTTAGTAAAGCTAAAACTATGTGAAAAGGCTTACTACACTATTACAGATTATTTAGCCGACAGATTTGCTTGGGATTGATGCTGCTCACTCCCACATTTACGTAGACATCTTTGTTGTTAAGTTTGAAAGTGATGGACATTTAATTATTATTTTTTGGTGTATTTCGTATTTTGTTTTCGTATTTTATTTTTCGTTGACTTTGAACTGTGTAGTATTTTTTTATTTTTTGTGTAAGTATGTAAATGTGAGTACAGTGTAGGCTTGTAATGTTAATTAATTTTTTATTATCTTTCTGGTGGTTTTGAGTGTTTCCACGGCCTACCCAAATGTCCTGCTGGCGGTAGTGTCGTGCTTCGGGTCGTTGATCTTGACCAATATCGGTTAGGCTACACGATGGCTGGAGCCTGTATGCCGTCTGTATGGACAGGTTGACTCAAAACTATGATCCTTTCCTCAAAAGGCCTATCCAGACCCTATACTGTACTCGCACAGTTTTAATTAACTTTGTTTACGGACTTAAAAAAAAAAGACACCTCTGTGGTTTGTTTCGGTGTTTCTTCCCAGAGTGAGTCTTAGGAAATGCCGGCTCCTTCTATAAAGTCCGACTTGTAAAAATATCTGAAAAGATTTACTTACAGAAATAAATATCATTTCATTTCATTATAGGCTGATTATGCTTTATTTATTATTTTACAACTTGTTTTATTAATGGACGATAGTGTAGCTAAATTGGTCAGATCTGTCTACCTTCAACAAAAATAATAAGTATCTCTCTTGTTAACCATTTCTTTATTTATTTTATTAAACTGAAATAATACATATTATATAATATTATGATATATGTCTGTAAAGTGTAAACTTGTGTTTGACCTTGTCTAGGTTTTTGATGTTAAAATTGTATGCAATAGACCATATGGTCGAAGATGCTTGCTGTATTTTCAAATTGTATGTATTATCTCATTTTTAGAATATTATGTTTAATTTGTGTTTAGATTAAGCGACAAATTTTGTGATTAATTATCATTACATACACGCCATGTCAGAGGCCTGTGGGATTCCCAGAGGCGACTTAATAAGCTCTGACACTAGAGGGTGGCCACAACACACGCAAAAAAATTACATACACATACTTGTGAACACCTTTTGTCCCAAATGAATATATAATCCAAAAACACATTTATTCATGTAAAATTAGTATATAGTTGCTTATAATATGAATATCTGATAAATTATAATGAATATTATGCTAAATAAAAAAGTCAAATACTAATGTTTCTTTTATTACACTGTTCCATAAATATTGCTTTCAGCATTTTATGCACAAGTACAGTGTGTTTCTCGATAGTGATGTCGTTTAGATGTCAATTGTTTTTGCTGAGAAATAATTGACCATCTTGATGAACACTATCGAGAAACGCACTGTACTTGTGCATAAAATGCAATACAAAGTATCTGTTTTGAAATTCCCGCCCTAGCTTCTACTGTCGAGTTTTGGTGGGCGGAGCATAGATGGCGCCGGCCGGTAAGGAAAAATTTCCTCATAAAAATAGTATGGAGTCGTTATTCTTCCCCTTTAGGGGTATATATGTTCTGTGAGTATAGATCTATATTGTATTTTTTATTACACACTCTGTGGTGCTTATTCATACATTATTTCTCTTTGGTTACTACCACAGTATACATAACTTCTCTACCTCATCAAGTTTTATCATATAAATAAATATTTAAATTATTTAAAAATATTGCTGCAGCAGTTAATTACTTGTTTTTATAAATTTATATAATAGTCGTATCTAAAATCGTATCTTTAAAAGACTTGTGAGTAGTAACAAAAGGGCTAAGCTATGATTGATATCAGGACCAGATACAAATAAGTATAAGAATAGAAGAAGAAAGTGGAAAAAAGAGAGAAACTAAGTAAGCAATGCAATAAAAACAAAGTTATTTTACAAGATGGCAAGAAAAGATTAAGTAGTTATAATCAGGAGTGCAAACATGTCTAAATGTTATTCTAATGAGGAAACTTATAACACGTTAATTGTTCTTTACTTTGCCGAACCATTGCTTTGGAGGAATCCTTGTCTCCTATCATGTTTACCTTTATAACGGTTGGATCCATATATTAATCTTTATCATCTTAATATTTCTGAAGCTTATAATGCACTTAAATTAGTAGAAAATATAATACTGATTTCTTAGAAATAACACACTCACGAGCTTTAAAAATGTAAAACATTATCTAATAACAACTGAAGTATCATAAAGAAGTTTACTTTTAAATGAGTTATTGGTTGAATTGTATAAAATTGTGAATGAAACACTGCTAGTCTTCTGGTTCCCATAGCATAATGTTTCTATAAATCTGTAAAAATGTAATAAAAGTCATCATTGGCCTCTCATAGCAATAGGCCTCTCCAATTGCACGCCACTAAGATCGATCCTCGGCTTCTCGAATCCAGCTCCTGCTAGCTATCTTGAATAAATCGTCACTCTACCTGGCCTGTTGGCGTCCTACACTACATTTACCGAGACGCGGTCTCCGCTTTGGTGTAAATGAATTCTTGACCCCAAAGGTTGTCGAGTTTGCGGCTAATATGTCCAACCCACAGCCACTTTATCTTGCTTATAATGAAAGTTTTTCCATAAATTAGCTCTTATGATCTAAATATATAATAATATAAATATATTTGCTAGACTAATTTAAAAATAACAAAGTAACCTTTGTAATACTTAATAATTAATACATAAAATTGGTGATAGTATCAGTAATTTGAAGATGGCCAAAACAACGGAAAACAAGAGAAAGCTATAAATTGGAGAATGAAGTAATTTTCTGGAGTAAAATATATACATATATATTTTAAAAAAAAGCCTGTCTTCAAGTCTTAACTGGTCCCGGTATATAGTTAAAAAGAGTTAAACATTGTAGGCTCTATAACGATAATAATGATTAAACTCCACAATAGATATTTTAGAAATACTTGTGATTAATGCAGTAAAAAGAGCTCAATCGTCCCAATAGCATTTCGGCAAAACCCTTAAAGGTAAGGTATTAGCTTACAATGTTACAAATCGACACTGGGAGTAGTTTTTCCTATCCTCTAACATACGAACCTCGTTGGTTAGACACAGGTGACACAGTATACCTGCAGACATTCGTTTACCTCCGTCGTTAGCTAACACCTGCATCTCACTATTTTCTTCCTACTAATCAAAACAACATAACAGTTGTAATTGAACTATTTTGTAAAAATATGAAAGCAAGATCCCAAAACGATATTTTTTTTATGCCTTGTAAGGTCGATGGGTGAGGCATGACGGGTCGAACGGTTCACCCTTTCGTTTTCTAGATCTAAGCCGGGCTTGTTGTGCATTACTGCATTAACCAAAGCTTAATTGCCATTTTATGTGGGAATAAAAGTACAAACAATTCAAGATCTAAAAAAGATGACATTTGAAAAATTGAATTGAAATTCGCACAGACATCCACACAGTTTATTTACAAAAGGTGTATTACCAGGTCATAAATATTACAAAAAAAGTAACCTCAGTTTAGTCAGTTTATTTTTTCGTTTGTTGTCTACGGGAATAATGTCATTGGTTGATATTAAAAAGAACTATTCATTCTGAATTGTGATTGGAGCAAACTGCAATGGATTTTAGATTCATTCCAATAATGTATGAATTTTCGATGTAAATATCCTGCCATAAACAACAATCAACAATGGCGGCGGTCACAGCGCCGGTGGAAATGTGTGTTTTTAATCGCTTTTAATTGTGCGAGACCAATGTTTTTCCTTTATAATGTCAAAACAAGGAAAAAGAAAAATTACTGTCGAATTACCGAAATCGAAAGATCTAGCTAACAGACCTAGTGTGTTTGAGCGTCTCGGTACTAAGAAGTCCAACGCTAAAAAAACAACTGAACACTGTAGACAGTGGGCTCAAAACGGGAGTTGTGCTTACGGTAAAAGTTGTAAATTTGCATCAACTCATACGCTTATAAGTCCTTCGAAGCAAAGGGCCGCTAATAAAGACATTGAACAGAAGCGCAGTGTGAAGGATGATCCTAAAAGTAGGTTACATTCTACCGTCGTGGTACGAGCAGGCCGTAGTCCAGATGGTGAAATCGACAACTGGGATCAAAATGACTTAGAATATGCAGACACAGACGTCCTTGAGAAACGTCGACAGCAACTGCAACGGGAATTAGAGTTGCAAATGAAAATGGACTCCAGTAAAGACATGCGTAAAGATAAAAAGAAGACAATGTCAAGTACTTCTTCATCTCGCAGCTCTAGTTCATCGAGCGTTTCTTCATCTTCATCAGATAATAGTTCCTCATCTTCTTCTTCTGGCAGGTATGAAGGTTCATATGTTCACATGTTCTGATAATATTGATTACATCGTGAATACATGTGTTAATATCCCATTATGTAATTCTTGGTAAATCTAATTGTTTGATGCAACCAAGTGTCATTATTTTTCAGAGAAGCTAGGCGAAAAGGGAAGAAAGGAAAATTACAAAGGAATTCAAGTTCTTCTTCAGATGGTGATGTGCCTTCTAAAAAGAAGTTCATCAAAACTGATACTCTAAAAAGAGACAAAAGTGAAACCAAGAAAAATCTGACAAAGAAAGATGATAAACTTTTAAAAAAACATGATACTAGTGGAAAAAAGAAACCTGTTGCTAAAACTACTATAGGTAAGAAATCACTGTCTCCAGGTAAAAAATCTGGTGGAACACCTCCAATTACATCTAAAAGCCTTACTAAAGGAGCAGTGAAACATGGTAAATCCCCACATAGACGAGAACGTAGAAGCATTTCACCTCACAGTACTAGGGATAGAGACAAAGACAAGGACCGTGCAAAAGAAAAAGACAGAGAAAAAGAGAGGGAAAAAGAGCGTGAAAAAGAAAGAGAAAAGGATAGAGAGAGAACTAGAGTGCGTAGTAGATCACCTAGAAAAGCAAGGTCTAGATCTCCCCGTCAATATGCCACACATTCAAAAGATGTTAGAAAGAAAGAGAGTTCTGAAAGAAGTAGACCAGTGTCACCCAAGAAACAAACTAGAAGGGATGGTAGTGCAGAAAGACATAGAAAGAGATCAGCAAGCAGAGATAGAGACAGAGGGCGGGAGCACAAGGATAGGTCTTTAGAAAGAAGGAAAGAAAAACATGATGATAAAGATAGACATGATAGGAAAGACAGAGGAAGAGATAGAAACAAGGAGACTAAAAGGGATGATAGTAAGAGAAGGGGAAGAGGAGACAGGGGCCTGGGTGGTAGAGGTGGTGCAGACAAAGGGTTGGAAAAACCCAATAAACCTATGGAAAGACTTCTGCCTAGACCAGAGGAGCGTTTAGCTGCTTTAGCAGCTATATCCAATAGGGCTCTTGATATTGACAAAGCTTCTTCTACATCTAAAGATCGACAAGACACACATTCTGAAAGAGGTGGTCGTAAACAGGATAGGCTTGAAAGAGATCGTTCAACAAAAAGGGATAGATTAGATAGTATGGATCGAGATCAAGGTGATTATGAAATGGGTATTGATCGTCAGTATGACAATGACCGAAATATAGATCACTATGACAGGGGGGATGATCGTTATGATGATGGCCCCAGAGAAGATGACAGATCACCGGGTTATAATATTCAGGGAAGGGACAGGCATTATGATACTGGTTATGAAATTTCTGGTCCTCCACGGGGCTATCCTCAAGATGATGATAGACTATATGGTGACCGCATGGGTGACCACAGGGGTGTTGATATGGGTAAGACTGATAGTTTCTGTTGATATCAAAAATACTATTGTTTAAATCTAAAATAATGTTTAAATTTCAGGTTATGATGACCGTCATCCTCATCGGGACCGTTCATGGGAAGGAAGGTCCGGTTCTATGGATCGAGAAAGAGGATATATTCATCCTCATAAAGAGTGGGATAATGAAGATTATCGTGGAGGAGACTGGAGTAGAGAGAGACGTTGGCCGATGCATGACCCACAGGTGCATAATTTATTAATACATATTGTATGTAACATTAAAAGAATAGACAATATAAAATGTGTAGTTTTAGATTCTAAATTTCTTATCTTTTGCTTTAGATGAATTTATACTACCAAACTTTGTATTGGAATGAACCAATTGATTATCGTAAAAACAATAAAAGTCCCTGCCTTATCCTATCTCACATATTCCTTGGCTGTCCTTATCCTCATTGGTATGTTGATTATTTTTTTAGCATTTAAACTTTTAAGTACATGTATGCTTTTATCATACTAATATTATAAAGGCGAAAGTTTTTTAATCAAGTTCTTGAAAAGTTTTTGAAAGTGGTTGAACAAAATTAGTATGGAGGTAGCTGACACCCTGGATTAACACATAGGCTCATTTTTATCCCAAAAAAAGGTTGTGTTTCTGTGGGAGGAGCAAGGAATTGAAAATCTATGGGTAACGTCACATGGCGCAGCTAGTAACATAAAATATGAGCCTGCAACTTGGGAAATTTGTAGTAGGTGTCAATTCTTTTGGATACAAGAAGCAGATCTACACTCTTAAAACATATCATTATATTGTCACAAAAATCTAAATTACTCATGCTGAGTTCCCCAGAGGAGCATTAAGGTTAGAGATTGGTTTTATAATGCTGGTGAAACAAAACAAAACAAATGCATGTTGCACTCTACACACTAGGGAAGCTGAAGCTTAGTTTTCATTATTTACCAAATGTCGAATCATGGTAGGTTTACAGTTTAGACTAATGCAGTTGCAGTAGTTGTTTTACCTTAGACCATATCATATCGGGAATCAAAACGAAACGGAGTCAGGGCAAATCGAAGTCTGTTAATATGCATACAATTGTTGTCTTTGTAAACAAGGAACGCATATATCGCACCTTTAATAATAAACTGAATTAATTCAAAATTTACGTTTTTCGAGTTTTTAACAAATACCAAATGAACTTCATCAGTAGAACACGAACAATCCAACAGGCGACTCGATACCATGAAAATGGCAGAGATAAGGAGATCGTCGTTCTCTATTTGACGAACTCGCACGTACAAATGTCAAACTTTAAATGCGATTTCCCACAATATTGAAATTCTAAGTTAATTCAGTTTATGAATAAAGGTGCGATATATCTTGTAAGCTAAGCGAATTTTATTCATACGCTACTAGCAAATCGTAGAGTTGTCGGTTGAGGTAATCATTGACGCAATGACGCAAAAATATAATAATATTTTTTCATTCGGCAAATTCGGCAAATTCTTTATATAAAAAAATACAGTCGAATTGAGAACCTCCTCCTTTTTTTGAAATCGGTTAAAAAGACTTTTGGGAAGATTTTCCCTGAGGAGAAACGAATGAGATGTCACTCCATTAAATCAAGAAGTACTATTAATTATTACACGTCATATTTTATTGTAAAACAGATGGGCGAGTGGGGTGATAAAGAGCCCGATGTGGATGCTTGGCATCATCGAGGTCATACTGGGCCCCATCGTGGAAGGATGCATGGTAAGGGTAAGAATCTTTATCAAGTCCTTTTTCAAAATTATATGATCTATTTGTTTTTCTTTATTTTTAAATGGATTGATATGTGTTCGTACATTTAGAAGACTATGGACGTGGTATGCGAATGGATCTACGAGCTGAGAGTAATAAACGGCGACCTCCAAGGAATGAACCAGACCCGACACCAAAAGATACTCCAACTTCTACACAACCAGCACCTGCTGCTGCTCCTCGTCCAGAAGTCGAAGTTGATGATAAACCTATACCTGATGATCTTAGTGAAATCAGTGACGATCCCGATGACATCCTTAATAGAGAAGATGTAAGAAAAAGGCTCTTTGTTTAAAAATAATATCTTATTTTTCCTATGCAGAGGTACATAATTTAACTGCATTTTTTTTAGATGGCAGATCAAATTATAGATGAGGATAGCCAATCTGGTTTACCCAATGATGAAAGTGGTTCTAAACTAGAAGGTTCCGAAAAGGAGTCTACACAGGTATAGTGATGTGAAATTAACTTTTTAAAAAAGCTCAAGTGCTTGAGCTTGAGAGTCCAAGTGAAGATTGAGTCAATAATGTTTTGCAAATATTCTAATTTTTAGGACACAAGTGGTGCAGGTGAAGAAAAGGATTCACTGGATGCTAAGGATGATGAAGAAGTAACAAACTTAGATTTTGAGGAAATATCTGATGGAGAATTGGAAGAGGAGCGAACAAGGGGTAATAAAACTTTTAGGTTGAGTAAAAGTTATTTATTAAAAGTACACTAATAATGTTTTTGATTTGATGTAGCTGGGTTAGGGGATGCCCTTGGAGTCGACTGGGCAAGCTTAGTAGCGGATGTGCGACGACGAGAACAATCAAGTGTGTCTTCTGGTGGAGCAAGAGATCGTTGGAGACCTGAGAGAGTACTAGCCCGTTTGGGGCTGTCTCTACATATGGCTGGAGATGAAGTTGTTCAACAAGTGTTGCAGAAAAATGCTGCAAGCTTACAAGACACTAATCAGCCTCAGTCAGAAGGTTCTGAATCAAAAGATAATATTGCACAAAATGGTGTATATGAAAATAAAATAGAACCTAAGCCCGATGTTGCATCTCTACATCCTGTAGCTGCTATTCAGGTATTTGTTTTCACTTTTTTTTTAGCTAGCGCTAACTTACTCGACTATTATCGTTACAATTGTTGGGCATCATAATATGTTTATTTAAAAAAAAAACAAATCCATATATATTTGTACTATTGTTGTTAGTATTGGCATACCGTCGTGTCGGCGGCGCCGTTCCCATGTGAAGTGTTGCATACGATTTTCTTAGAAAGGTATGACTTTAGTCCATGCTAGAGGAATATCCCATTGGCAGAGGCTAAACTAAAGCAGTTCAGAGACCGGACTTAGGAAATATTCATAAATGAGACTGGAGTTAGAGTTCCTTGTGTAGCCCTCCACAGTTTTTAGCACGACGATACTATGCCATAGTACAGATGTTGAACTCTTTTTCAGTTCTATACATGACCATAGTGGCTAGGTTATTGCAGCATATTTACTATGTTGACCTAGAGCCAGTGAGGCCTTGGAACATTCCATGTGAAGTCAGACCTCATTTTTGCCATATTAATCTCGTTCTTTTATATGTAGCTGTGAGTAGTATTTCTCTCCAGTGGTTCCAGTTTAGTAGGAGTAGGGGTAGTTTCCTTGAGCTTCGATGGATGTGAAAGTAATCTTCTAACAATGAAATAATTAGATTATAAGATAATTGATACTGGCAATTTTAAAAATCTTTTTTTTTAACATTTGATTTCGGAACATAATGTATTGGATTTCTTAGATGCTTGTCATATGATCAAAGTAATATGCAATACGCTTGAATTTAAAAAAATACCTATATCCAGAACAAAATGATTAGGTGGCAGTTACTCTGTGATTTGAATAATTTCCAACAAAAATAGGATTCCATTGGCCCTTTGGCTACGGAACTCTAAAAACTATTGATTAAGAAAAATATTAACATACATGTCTACTCCACAAGCTTTCTATAACCTTAGGGCATGGAATACATACCAAGTAGGTACGTACAGCGAGGGACGCGACAACGACGCTTTACAGTCTATACATTGACGTTTTTGAGCAGTTATTACATCTTTCTATTTCTTTCTATTCATTGTATAAACTTGTTTATTTTCATGATAGCATTACGAAAACATGCATGTATAAGTATAAATACATTCAAGCGACACGATTTGGCGCTTTTTTTTGTATTAGAGTGTGCATCTACAGTTTATTTGATCGAAGTATAAATTATTAAAAAGTTAAGTTGGTTTGTGTTCGCATCAAAAGTTCTGCACTGATTGAGCTCACATTTTGACACAATATACAACCAGATTTTGCGTGACAGTTTCGTTCCTCATTTCTTATCAATGCCACCACAATGTGCCATAACGAAGCATGGCAGGGTACAGCTAGTAGTTTATATATGTTTGGTTCAGTCAAGCTCAACCTACAGAAATGATACTTTAATTGCAGAAATATGGTACATGGGCTATTTATAGTTATTATAAGAGAATTACATATTTCGTCAGTCTGTTCTGACATGCAAAATTTTAAACGTACATGCATATTATAACAGCAGATTGATTTAATAACAAACTACTAAGCTCATGTCAATAAACAATTTACAAAATGTCAAATATAAAATTGCAATATCAAATTTTTCAATCCGATAACTTATTTCTAATATAGCACACAACATAAATAAAATATTGTCAGGTGTTTTTGTAATTATTGCTCATTTAGGTATTCGGTTACTGAGCATATAATTTTTTCCAAAAGCCATATTTTCAATTTCATTTTAAATTTCAGTAGGGGCAACGTCTTTATGGTGGGTGGCAAGCTATTAAATATTTTGATACACATATTATAACATTTTTTTTGGAATATTGTAGTTCTGGGAACAAAATCCAGGACTAGTCTTTCACTGCCCCAAGTGTTGCGTGGGAATATATCTTTTGCCTTTTTAAATAAACTGGGGTTACTTTTAACAAATACACTTACTGCAAAGATGTACAAACAGGGTAATATTTCATATTTTCCAAAATAAAGTTTGCAAGATTCATAAGGAGTAATAACCACCATTCCTATTTATTAGTCCATAACAATGATTTCAGATACACATATGTAGATATTCTAAAAAATTCGTGTGAAATTTGTTTTAACATCATTATTTTTTTCAAAATGTTTCTAGGTGGCAGAGCAAAAGCGAAAACGTCAACGTGCTGTATTATTTGGATCTGGTTGTGAGATAACGCGTGGTTTAAGCGCACGACGTGATCTAGCTCTGCGAAGATACTTATGTCATTTACCTACAGCAGAAAGAACTGGACAGGCGCGAGTAACACCACAGGCTTCTTTCTTCCATGCAGCTAGATCCATGTTATTGCATGCTCCAGTTACTGGCTGACATAAACCCTAAACCTTGGAAATCCAGAGCTAAACCCTTGCCCTGGAAATTCAGAGTTAGCCTTACTAAATAAAAAATAAACTTTTGAAGTGCATTCTCAGACACTATTTCTTAGTGATGTTTTAATCCTTGTCTGGGAACCCAGTGGATTGATTCATGTATGAAGATTGCAATAACTAGTGAAAATTGTGGATTTTTAGTGGTTTTGCGATATACCTAATTGACACAAATTAAAGTGATACAGCTAACTGTTGAACATTAACTATGTTAGAATATGACTTAAGTGCAAAAGTGGTTTCAAGGTTTACAAAAAATATGTTCCTTGAATAATTTTTGTTTATATTTGTTTCTAACATTAATTAATTATATCATCATTTTTATAGTACTGATTTTTATTTCATGATTGACTGAAATCTATAAAAATATTATGAAAATATTAAAAAGGAAACATCAGAACCAACTGGATATTCAATCTTCTTCTCATGTCTGAAACAAAAATGTACTATTAAAAAAAGAACAGCAAGATCATCCCCTAATATTATATTATACAAATGCAATTTTAAGTAATAAACAGCCACTGGTAAAATTGGCTTAGTTTAGTTAAAATGTATACCATAAGTAAAACATTTCAGACTTACGCTTTAAACAGAACAGCGCCAGCAATCCCTTTTAAAGTCAACTTATTACCCTCAATATGCAAAATTGATCCTTCCCTCAAACCTAGCACAGGTTTTGCATGACTCATTTCCATATATTCAGCTATCCTTTGATCCCTGGTCTCTCCTTTATGGGTTGCGCTTTCTAGCACATCAATATAGTGAGGGTTGATATTGAATGGTACAATACCAATAGCTTCAAATGTTGGAGGAAATATTATAGGCATATCATTTGTAGTATGTATACTTTTGGTTGCTACATTCGTTCCAGCGCTGCTTCCAATATATACAAGGTTCCCACTATTTACCTTTGTGTTTATTAGCTTTACTAAATTATTGTCATAAAGTGTTTTTAGAAGAAGGAATGTGTTGCCTCCTCCAATAAAGATAGCATTAGAGGAGTCAATAGCATCAACAGGATCAGGGTATGTGTGTAGTCCTGTTACCTTGAATCCCCATGGTTCAATAACTTCTTTCATTTTAGCAGTGTACTTATCATAGTCCATTTGGGCATATGGAATAAAGATTAAATTTGTAACATTAATACTGAAATTAGAAAATATGTAATATTATTGATCAATGTAAACTTTGAAAAACTCAACAGTTGTGGGGAAGAGTAGATGACCTCCTTAATAAGCTGAAACAAGAAACTAAAATGTTTAACTTACCTCTGTAGTAAAGAACATATTTCTTGTTTTGCAAATTCCAGCATAGAATAGCCATGACAATTTGAGGATGACAGCAATAAAGCTTGACGATTGGGTGACATGTTGTGGGAAAATGCTCTTTGAATGAATGCTTTCAGTAGACTGGAACCTGCTATACTAAAATACTGGTGTTGATACAATGAGCAATAAAGTGACTTTGAAAGGATCATTAACTTGGTTATAAATCTAATCTAAACGAGAATTTATTGTCTCTTATCAGGTCATTTAATAAAAATATAAACCAAACGGTTTGGCTGCACTGTTACGCAGAGTAAACATTATTTTCTGACTCACAATTTAGAATAGTATTACTATAATCATTCATTCGTTTTCATCAATCATCGTCAATGAGATTGGTGAAATAGAGTAGGTATTTTAGATCCTATCCCAGTATAATTACACGGAATGAGATAAACTCATAAACTACAATTATCTTACAAACTAGTTCACAAACATACATTTTTAATCTCCCTTGAACATTTTAAATGAAATGCATGAAGTTATCTAGCGTGAGGGTGATGTAATCCCTTAGATTTATAGTGTTTTGTCTATGTGTAATCCTCTGTCGAGTGACGTTAGTGACAAGGCCTTGAAAAATATCGATATTTTCAATGAAAACAATCGTTTATATCTTATATCTTGATATTTATATAATTCGAAATTATGGATTATTTTAAAGTATCGAATTTGTATCAAGTTTGATATTTTTTAAAAGCTCTATATGCATGCATATGTGCATTACGTCAAGTCTCCGACCATTCCGACCAATTTTATTTTTAATCTTCCTTGAACATTTTAAATGAAATGCATGAAGTTATCTAGCGTGAGGGTGATGTAATCCCTTAGATTTATAGTGTTTTGTCTATGTGTAATCCTCTGTCGAGTGACGTTAGTGACAAGGCCTTGAAAAATATCGATATTTTCAATGAAAACAATCGATTATATCTTATATCTTGATATTTATATAATTCGAAATTATGGATTATTTTAAAGTATCGAATTTGTATCAAGTTTGATATTTTTTAAAAGCTCTATATGCATGCATATGTGCATTACGTCAAGTCTCCGACCATTCCGACCAATTTTTTTTCTAAGATTAGAGAATACATAATATATGGCCAATGATATTTCAAATATAAAAAATATAAAATCATTGATGGTGGCACTAAAGTCTGTTATAGATATGTTAATTTTTGTGTGACAGTTTAGTTGATCTCAGTGCAGCCTAGTTTTTGTCTGTACCTCCTATTCAAAAATTTCGATTGGATAAATATCCTATTTTCGCATTCGCTCATCCTTAAAGTGACAGGCAAGGACTCGAGACATAATTAAAAAAATCCGCCCGTGTTGTCCATAGAGATATAATTATAGAGAGAACACGGATTACAGCTGCCTGTAAGTTTAAGCGATACAGGCAACGAGAGAGATGGACGCTCGATAGTATCCTCTGTCTCTGTTTAGCTTAACTGCGATTGGCTACTAAGTAACCTCTTTTATTCCCCAGCCAATCACAGAGTTCGACTAGGAAGAGATAGAGGGATCTAACCATAGAGAGGACACGGGGTACAGCTGCCTGTAAGTGGAAGCGATACAGGCAACGAGAAAGATGGATGCCCGACATTTCCCTCTGTGTCTGTTTCGCTAAGTTGCGATTGGAGCGAAGCTCGACTAGAAAGATACAAAGTGGACTATTTATTATCCACCTCTCTTGTTGCCTATATTGCAAGATTGGGGCTCTTGTTCTCGATAGGCTATATCTTTTTGGATCTAACTATTATCCATCTCTCTTGTTGCCTTATTGCAAGATTGGGGCTCTTGTTCAATCTATGCTTATATCACTATAGTGTCAATCTACTAGACATTAAAAATATTGCAACCTTTCAATCATATTCATTTGATGAACTGATTGGTTTAAGTCACAGCCATTTTCCATGTGATTGTGATTTCGTCATAGACAAAGATCAAATTCAAACATTTCAATCAATTAAAACTATCGAAAATCACTATCTTTTTTTTCGAATTTAAACCTTTCGCCAGTCTTGTGGTAGCGTAATAATAATAATTAAGTCGCAGTGGTTTAGTAAATCAGTCACAGGTGTGATGATATGATTCATAAATCATATTATTAATATACATTTAGCATTCACTTAGCAAAAAGGCAAAAATGGCAAAAAAGAAGTGTTCGCGAAGGACGTGAACACCCAAATACTCCGAAATATTTTATTCCGAATTAAGATGTTACGATTTTCACAATACCTAAGAATAATAATGTCTAATATTAAAATTCACGAAATTTAAAGTCGATGTGTTTGTATTCCGATTTTTATACGTTCGAAGAATCAAATGCTCGAAAGGTTCTCGGTCCGAAATACGAAATTCCGATTTTCAATTCTTCGATTAAACCGCTAAAATTAAGATTCTCATTCAGTTAGTATAATATTCATCAACAGCCTTTTATAGTCCACTGCTGGACATAAGCCTCTCCTTAGAAAGGAGGTTTATAATATTCAGTTAATATTCAGTTACGCATAAATATTCAAAAGCTATAAGTAACATTTAAAGTAATTTAAAGACGGTTAATTTGTTATTAATATTTGTGCATTAATATTTTTTGTGTGTTTTCTTCTTCTCTTTATATATACTTGCGTCGGGTATCATATACTGTATGTAAATTTTTGGGTTAGGGTAGAACTGTGACCTTTAAAGCGCGAAGTCGCGGCAGCGGCCGCCCAGTGCCAGATCCCGTCTATTTGTGATCAATCATTTGGGTAAACTTAAGTTAGAACTGTGACCAGCGAAAGAAAATATTTTTATTTGAAAGAAAATAGAAAGCATTCGAATTTTTGATGTTTCGAATCATCATTAGTCGGACTTTTTTTATTCGATTTATTGAAACTCGGTATTTTGAGTACAGTAATTTTAAAAGTGAGGAATATTAAATTTTTTATACAAATAGGATGAGTGATCAATCGGTGTTGTTATACACATATATATACTCGTATATATATATATATATGAGTTTTGATAACCCACTTACTCTATAAGTCTGGTAGTGTCACGGATCCTAAAAATTTTAGACCTATCACATGTTTACCAACCATGTATAAACTTCTAACATCTATTCTGAGACTCAAAATTACTTCACACAATGGATTCTTCTCAGAATGGATGTAGAAGTGGGTCTCGTGGCACTTAAGAGCTTCTTATCATAGACATGACCATTAGCCAACGTGCGGTACGGTGCGCCGTAATCGTAAGAGTCTGGCGACATGTTTGATAGATTGAAGAAAGCTTATGACTCGGCTCCACACACAAGGCTTTTGAGGGTGCTGGAGGCGTATAAAATCGATACAACTCTGTGCACTTTCTTGGAGTCGTGTATGGGGCAATGGAGAACAGCCCTTCGCTATCCAGGATGTCGGCAGACGGCGTTAAACGATGTACTAATAAAGATCGAGAGGGGTATTTTTCAGGGATAGGGATAGGGATCGCAGGGTAGTATGGAAGGGCAAAGAGCTCCATGGTCTTTCGGGTCCGATATAGACTTAAAACCATCTACGACATGGATGCAGTATGGTGATCTCTTCGGAGAAACTGATGGTTTTGTTTGTGCGATTATGGACGAACTTATCATGACGAATAACTACCGGAAATATATCTTGAAAAATGGTACGGTTGACATCTGTCGGGCATGCCACCGTCCTGAGGAATCAATCAGGCATATTATTTCTGTTGTTCTCGTCTCGCTAACGGTGAATATTTGCACAGGCACAACTAAGTAGCCAGGATCTTACACCAACAGCTTGCCATTAAATACCAACTTGTAAATCTAGAGGTGCCATACTACAGGTATGTGCCCGACCCAGTTCTCGAGAATAGTCGGGCCAAGTTTTATTGGGATCGATCTATTATCACAGACAGGACTATTGTTGGGAATAAGTCTGATATTGTAGTGATAGATCGATTAGAGCGCCGCGCAATGATTGTTGATATCGCTGTTCCTCATGACGAGAATCTCGTGAAAGTTGAAAAAGAAAAACAGATAAAATATTTGGATTTATCTCACGAGATTGTCGATATGTGGAATGTCGATTCAGTGATCATTGTTCCGATCGTCGTATCTGATCACGGATTGATAGCCAAGAGCCACGACATACACCTTAAGAGGCTCACGTTGGACGGCTGGATCAAGGGCTGATGCAGAAGGCAGTCCTCCTTAGAACTCCTATCTTGGGAGTCCTAACCACAGGTGTCTCGGTCACTGTACTTATATATATATATATATATATAATTTAATAAAGATAATAATAATAATAATAACTCTTTATTGCAGACCATGGTGTTCATTTTGTTAGTAACAATATTCTTAGAGACTAGTGTTAGTACAGTACATAAAGAAAACAAACAATAAAACAAAACGAAGAAAAATAGACATATACACACACAACAATCATTGCTATGCCATTCCGTACACAAGTACGCAGCAACGATTGATGTAACTACAGTCCAGCCGTCTAGAGATCATGTTCAGGATACTGTTGACGATGCCGCTCATCTTGACAACTAGAGATGTGCATCTTTTACGTATCGTAGCATAAAAGTAATCTACGCGATGTTCAACAAACTACCCCGATGCACTACAGAGACGCTGCAGCCCCAGCAGCACTCTGAAGAGCACACACTAAGTGTTCCTGATAGACACATGTAAGCCACAGCAATGTACAGTTACTTCCTGTAACTGTTGCTAATTTTGCGCTTTAAACAATTGCTACATCAACAACTTTTAATAGTCCACTGCTGGACATAAGCCTCTCCTTAGAAGTAGACTAGACGCTAAGCTAGACGGGTTGGTACACGGGGTTGGTATAAGGTTTGTGACAAGTTTTTCTTCTCTTTGCAGTGTTGTTGTCCTGTGTGTTGCACCCACAAGATGAGTTGGGGTGGTGACTCTCGGTGTTCTTAACGTAGTAGTCTGGTAATTTAAGCCGATTTTCATGTCTTTTTTGGCGGGCGTTTTATTATAGGAAAATAAAAATGAATCGTTTTGGATATTTAGGATCTTTTTATTTACATGTTAAAAATACAAACATTAAAGAAAAAATGATTTTTTATTATTATTATTATTGATCGTATGCATAACCATGCACCTTGAAATAAAAGCACGTGGGTGGTCCCGGTGATTTTGGCCCTTGATGTTATTTGAAATCAAAAATTCTTGATAATTCTTAATCTACAGACATGTTATTCTGGTCGGAACTACTGAAGGTAAATTTTAAATATATATAACAAAATTGCAGACTTTGAAAAAAAATGTCCTTTTTTTTTTTTTTTTTTATTGAATAGGAATAACAAACAGCTACAACATACAGTTTACAAAATAATCTAAACAATATAGCACTTATGCTATATTGTAGCCCACAACGTTATTCACAAATTAGCAAAGATAAGTATGGAATACAGTATTAAACACGCTCACATTTGTACATGTACAGGTTGGAATACTCATACATTAGTTTCTTAGTAGTAATTATGAAATTTATAACAAGGACTATTGTCAATGCGGTTATGTTATTTTAGCCTAAGTCTTTAAGCAAAAGGCCTTTAAACTTGCTCATTGAGCTGGCGAAAATATCAACATTAATAAATATTTTGTTGTAAGTATCCAACATGCGACGCATCGGCGAGCGGATACCAGTGTTGGTACGACATTTGTTCACTGAAAATAGTTTGCCTGCGCACACTTTACGTCTGTAAAACCTCCTGGGGACTGTATAGCATAGCATATTATTTAGTTCAGTGCAGTTAAATTTGTTGGTTGCGATTTTATACAGAGTTAAAGCCTCAATGTACTTTCGTCTCGAGTTGAGAGTCAATAGTTTATATTTAACTAGCAATTCATTATACGGCAAATAGAAACCGTGGCACCTATAGTGCATTGCACGTAAGTATTTACGTTGGACATTTTCAATGATATCTACATATTTGTTGTAGAAGGGGTTCCAGATCGGCACTGCATACTCCAATTGTGAGCGAACTAATGACCTATATAGATGCAAGTAGGAGCAAGGTCTTTTGAAGTCGTGGGTAGATCTCATAATGAACCCGTAAAGCTTATATGCTTTGTTGACTATGTTGTCGATATGAAGATTTAGGCAGAGTTTCGAGTCGAGTGTCACACCGAGATCTGTTATAGAAGTGACCTTACTAAGGGGAATATTGCAAAGTTTGTAGTTAAAACTAATAACATTTTTATTTTTTGTGTAATTTAAGTACTTACATTTGGGTAAGCTTAAGTAAAGTTTGTTATTATAACAGTAGGTTGTCAGTCGGTCCAAGTCCTGTTGAAAAAGGGCACAATCCTCGTAATTTGTAATGGGATTATAAACTTTGAGGTCATCAGCATACAGGAGGTATTTAGTATTAAGAAAACATTGATTTATGTCGTTTATAAAAATAATAAACAGTAGAGGCCCAAGAATTGAGCCTTGTGGAACTCCGGAAGTGGCTTTTATGATTTTTGATTGGAAACCGTTAATCACAACCCTTTGACAGCGGTTCGTAACATAAGAGCAAAACCATCTGAGCAGGTTGCCGCGTATTCCGTTATATGCAATTTTATTTAATAGTATTTCATGATCCACTTTGTCAAAGGCCTTCTGAAAATCAGTGTAAACAGCATCCACTTGAACTCGATTGTCAATGTTGTCAAATAGAAAGCTGGTAAAATTTAAAAGATTTGTGGTAGTTGATCGTTGTTTGACGAAGCCATGTTGTTGTGGTATGATTATGTTGTGAAACGCTGGGTATATTTCGTCGTGTACAAGTCTTTCAAAGAGCTTTGACAAAGCGGACAAAATAGATATCGGTCGGTAATTTTCAACGTCACTCTTAGATCCACCTTTGTGTACGGGAGTAACATTGGCACGTTTCCAGACAGCGGGAAACACCCCCTCTGAGATGCATTTATTGTAAATTAAAAACAAAGGCTTATAAATATACGATGAAGTCATTTTTAAGAAGTGTGGAGGTATGCCATCGGGTCCAGGTCCCTTAGACGGATCCAAGGATTTAATAGCTTCAAGGACCTTTTTTTCACTAAAACGGAGGTTACAGATATTCAAATCATTGTCACAAGAGTCTGGAGGAGGTCTCCAATGTTTAAAGTTAGTTGTAACTGGTTCACATACCGAGAAGAAGAAACTGGAAAATAAATTACAGATGATTTTTGGGTCACTAGATTCCACGTCACTGTAGTACAGCTTAGCAGGTATGCCGTATTTTAGCAAAAAAAGAGTTGTAAAATAAAAATTTAGGGATGGAAAAAATTCTCGGTAGTTGCAACGAGAACTATAAGTGTGTAAAGTAGCCTGTTAAAATTTGAAAAGTTCTGTAGAAAAAAAATTAGGACCCGGGCCGACCAGAAAAACCCTGTATTGAGAAAAACCGTTTAAAATTCAACAACAGATTTTCATAAGCAAAATTAAACTTACGTTATGGGCCGAAAGTAACGTCCATGACTGCCAATATTTTTTGTACCGAAGTTACCAGACTACTACCTTAATCCGTTACCACACCGACAATCGCTAGAATTATGTTCATTTATAAGTACTCATATATATTATAAGTACCTACAGTAACATACTGTCCATTTTATAACCTAAACCCTTAACGAGTCCGAATGAAATGTTATCTGTTGATTTCGAACTACCGTTTTGCAGTAGTACTTTAACTTAAGCTAAAAATTAGAAGCCTTACTTTATATTTAAAAACGCAAGAGACTTTTAGAAAAGTAATAGATTTACAGCGATGGTTTTGATTTGTTTTTTACATTGGGAAATAGAATTATGTTTAGTTTAATATACTTAATTGCTCTGACACTGAGTGTTGTTTGTGTGCCATAATTGTTTTAAATGTTTTTTTCTAGTTTTTGAAGTACATAAAACTTCTTTACGCACGCTTGACTTGGGGAGTAAGCTGGTGAATGCGTGACGAGAGCGTTAAGAAAAGTGTGATCGGGCGAGGCGAACGGCAGTTGAGAGGGAGACATAAGTTAGTGAAGATAGAAAGAGAGAGAATTACGTTTTGTATATTACTGTAGGGGCAAGAAAGAGAGGTGCGAGCACACATATTCTTTCTTTGTCTTATAGCCAAGAAGTTTTACATGAGTCGTGTGGTCTAAAGCACACTCGTTTTTTTTTGTCGCAGGTAGCAGCAGCTGTTTCCTACTGTGATATTAGCCTCTGTGTCATTTTCGCATACATATTAATATTAGAATAAATATGAAAAAGTTCTGCGCTATTTTATTCCATTGTAGGAACTCTTTGACTTTGGTTGATAGATAGAGGTATAAAGTAGGTAATTATAAATATGCAATAAATACATGTTTCTTATTGCAAAATAAATTATCTATAACAAAACTATTCACGCCCGATCTCTTTTATGTAATTTCTATGACTTATATACTTAAATAGTTTAATTTTGCACACAATTAGACGATAAGATTTAGGTACAATGTAGATCATTAAATTTTAATTTTATTCTTGACTAGCAAGCATTTGTCTAAATGCATTTTATTATGCAACACAGTTTTGGGCATCAATTTCATGAAACTAACCCAGTTAGATGATCATTTGAAACATTGCCATCTAAAAAAAAGGTAATGAAGCATTACCTGTTATTGCCATATTAATTTTAAATTGTTTTAAGAAATCTGCAAAGAACTGCTCTTAATAAGAACTTGAGTACTAACGCTAAAGGCGCCTTAGTAAAAAAATGAGATACCTGCGATGGGTTACCATTGATTTTAGTCTGTTTAAGAAAATGTATGTAAAATATTGAGTAATAGATTACATGAATCTCTTATCAACATGATAAATGGTTATTTGCTTTTAAAATTTTAATTAGATAAGTAGAGGGAGGCCTTTGCCCTGCAGTGGGACAATACAGGCTAAAAATTAATAAAATAATAAATAGAGTAAAGGGGCCATTAACCACTGAAAAAACTGATTTTGGTAAACCATTTTCAATATCTTGGTTAAAAAGTTCAATTATTTCAGCTACAAAGAGTGAAAATACTAAACTTACAGTTTAAGACATTACATAAACTAGCTTTTTCCCGCGACTCCCCCCGCTTAAATGTCGGTTATCGCGGTAAAAAGTAGCCTATGTCTTTCCTCACGAATCAAAGTAGCTTCATACCAAATTTCATATAAATCGGTTCAGCGGTTTAAGCGTGGAGAGGTAACAGACAGACAGAAAGACAGATAGACAGACACACTTTCGCATTTATAATATTAATATGGATGTAATTCAAAAAGCGTTTTGTAATTTAAAATTGTACTAAGTTTCGTTGTTTTAACAGTCGTGGTTTACAAAATATACTTAAAATTTAGAGAATAGTTAAAAATAAACATCAATTTTAAAAATTACATACAAGTTTTAGTTCATAGCTTACACATCTAGTATAAAGAATCTTTCTTCCTGCGGTTTATCACAGCCTGGTCCAAGATAACGACGTCTTAACTCGAGGTCTGGCGGCGCAGAAATGTCTCCTTGGAGTATAGAGTATGCTTGTTCTATAGTACTTTCGATTTCAGCTTTTAGATCCTGTAAAATTTGAAACTATTTAAAAAGAGTTGTTATACGACGGACATGAATAGGGTGTATTTTACTTTATTAATGTAATGACAGTTCAGCCAAATGGTAATATTTCGAAGTTAAGTGAAAAATTCTTTAGGCGCGTTGCACATTTTTGAACAGCAAAAAATTAATGAATTTTTGAGATGGAAAAAAACCATTGAACTCGCGACACTGTTACCGTTATCGACACCTCTGTATATAAGTATCTACATATTTGGCCCCGTTTACGCAACAGTTGAGTTTAAGTTGGAATACATTGAAAATATAACTATTATAATATAAACATTATATTGTGTATTTACGTACAACATATATATATATAAACATATTGTATGTAATTTTCTGCGGAAAATTTAACTTTATGCAATCAACTGTCAAAGGTAATGGTCATTCCCCGTAGGTATCAAAAGTAATAGCTACATGTGTATTCCGTGCAAAAGTCTACGCACACTAACACAAGTTGGCGGTTGGAGGGTACGCCCCGCGCGCTTCGGCTCTTTGATTAATTACATTGCAGTTTTTGACCGAATGCGGTATTTATTAACTTGTTTCCGTGAAATGTTCTGTTTACTCGTTATGATATGATTTTTAACCAAAAAAGTTGCAAATTTAAAAAAATAATAATTTACCGGCAGAAAATTCCAACATTGCACATAATTTATAAATTTACTAAAAAGATACTAGTACATAGCAAACAACAACATAACATAAGTAATACGAGAATGTTATATTTTTTTTACCTTTTAGTAAGGGTGGCTAATAAAAAACGTAAGAAAGTGACTTGAAGAAGGACGAAAAAATCTACTATTTTATAATGGAGATGAATTTCATAATGGACTAACTTGAACTTCACTATACTACCAACGTGACCTCAGTTTTCATCCTGTTCTTGTACTTCGTGTGAGGTATTTATATTCCTATTATTACTCTTTACTAAGTTTAACTTCTGGATATCTGGATATGTTCTAGATATGTCCAAGTTAGGTAATACAGTGATTAGATAACCACCTCAAACAGGTCTGGAGATCGGCGGGCGCGCTCTGCCAGGGCGGCGTGCAGGTGGTAGAGCAATAGGCCGCGGAGGTGCGCGTCGCCCACGCCCAGCGCCGCCAACGTTCGCAGAGTGCCGCGGGACAGGCTCTCTTTCAGCGCCAGACGGGATTCCGAGAGCTCTGTAAAGTGACGTTACAGTTTAGAAACATACTAATCTTAGTACATGTTTCCACTTTCAATGTTGACGTTGTGGTACATTATACCGTTAGACAAGTATTGTGTGCCAAGTCTCGTGAGATTACATAAATTTGTAGTGCACTTTTTGTTGTTTATATTACTTATTGGTATCCACTTGATAAGATAGTAGACTTTTGGTCCACGTAGGCTCTGAAGAATGTTAAGCTGAGTAAGTGTTACGCGGTAAGGGCATGAAATTGTCTTAATTATGAAGAGATCCACAGGATTTGATATATAGGGATTGGATACACAACATGTTAATATCGTTAGTATTTTGGAACATAGGATATGGAAATTTTACACTTCTATTTATTTGGCGCCGTACAAAATCATCACAGGGGCACTTGCTCTTTGTTTTATTCCGTTAATGTACGGTAGTGTGCAATAGATATATCCATTAAATGCCGCTGCCGATATTTAAATGGGTAGGTAACTCGACCTTGCAAAAGACGGTTCATCAACAACACCAAGTATAGTTCCATTTTTCTGGTGACGAAGCCAGAATTAAGATTACCAGAATTGAAAAGGGGTCTTTTCAATTCTGGTAATCTTAATTCTGGCAATTTACGAGTACTTAATACTTCTAAAGTTGTATGCATAAAGTTTACTAACAAGGACGTAATAGGGAATAAAAGTAATACGTTTATGAAGAGACGAATGCAACCAATTCGTTATGCAATGGGAGAGGCCTATGTCCAGCAGTGGACTGCGATAGGCTGATGATGATGATGATGTTTATGAAGAATGCTGTTAAAATAGTACAGTTCAGCTATATACCGCTGTAGATAAAGATTTATGTTCTAAGAAAGTGTCTTTGATATTCTGAATTTTTTAAGATTATTAAGATGATTCTTTTTCAAAGTATTTATGACTGCTTAGTTACTAATATTAGTATTAATAACAGTTTATACTAAAGTTTATTTTATTTATTCTTATTACTTTATTTATTTTATTTTTAAACTATTAAAAGGGGAATTGTTTTTAGTAAGCCACGATACCTTTTATTAAATCGAAGTTTGACCAAATGTATTGAATTTTTGTCACGTTTGGAGTCAATTGTGATTCCTGACGAATATTTTACTAGTTGTCAATCTTTAATATTCGTCTGGTTAGCTACAGACAAATACAATTAATGGTCATTAATTTGTCAATAAATACAAAAGTTTTCTTTTTAAAAGTTCAAACAACTATTCTTTGAATTAATTCTACTAGATAAGTAACAACTACTTTAATCAATAATGTGATCACTTGTCAATGGCAGGTATGTTGAACCTACGCATCATATTCCATTAGTACTGATTAAACAATGTTTCGTACGCAACAACAAATTGATTTTCAATACATCTTGGCGTGGGAATAGAAATAGTTGGCAGAAGAGAATATGTAGACCTTCATCGAACTTTGTAACGGCAAAACGCCAAGACAAAAGTACCTTACCACGCGAATGCTAAGAAACATCTTTGTAGGCACTCATTATCATGTCATATCTTATGAAGGAACGTACACACAATTCTGTATCACGCAACTTCTGAATTTACATACGGTCACTTCAATCACCGATTCAAAATTATGCGGCGGTTCGTTATCAACTTAATAATTATGTTATTGCATGTTTAAAAGAGCTATGCAATCCACAATGGAGCAAACAATAAAATTATGAATGATAGTAACTAACGGCACAGGTAGACAGATCCACCTGGAGACGACGTGAGGGCGGGCGTTTCTCGCGGCGGCACCCATTTCAATCAGCGGTCAATCGTACAACTGCCCCACACGACAATATCGTCGCTGATTTTATTCGTTTGTTGCGTAGTACTCGGCGCACACGTTGTACTGACTGAACTCGCTATGCAATTCTAACTATACCTACATTCTACAGGAATCCTTAAAGTTATACGCATATGCTATTGCGGCATGACGCAGTGAATACGGACCGCGTATTATAAAGGGTCGTATAATATTCATATTGACCTTGAAATTGACAGATCAAATCATGTAACTAGGTACCAAGACACGGTTGAAAATGTATATTAGAAAAGGAACCTTATGTACAACATCTTAACGGTCGACGATATTATAGAAAATATTTGCTTGTGTCCCTACAACACATAAGCAATATTTTTTTTTCTAAAAAAATTCTTCATATGTTTGAATTGGATACTGGTGGTTTCCATAACTACAAAGACTTTATTCATTATTGCCAAACACTAATTACAAGCATTTATTATTAATAAAAAACATAGTTGAACTAAACAGATATGCGCATCGTCGAAAAGTGCTATCGCGTTCCAAATGAGCAGCGGCCGTAACGTAGGTACACAAACGCAATATTATATTCGTTAGACTGGAAATGCGTTTTCATTATCCTAGTCTGCTACTCGGCATGTCACTGGCTTCCAATTATTTATGTATAATAAAATATAACCCTATTAACAAGTAAACTATAAAACTACGTAGGTACTTGGCCTGTTTTTATGACTGGTCAACCATAAACTAAATGATTGCATACTGAGTTATTTCTATTGTTCTACGAATACTTAACGTGCAGGTTTTCATATTGTATTTTGACTTAAAACTATACATTGCCTACGTTACTGGGATTATAATTGTGTCGAAATACACAATATTCTTTATTAAATCCAAAAAGGTTTTTTTCTCTTGAAAACCACAAATTGTTCTCGTTGCTCTCGCTTGGGGTACGATAAAGTGGTCAAGTAAATAAGTGTCAAACGGATTAATTTCACGCAGTGTCACTGATAAAACAATACTCTAGGAGAGGCAGTTGAACTACACGAGAGAGCCAACGCTGTTTTTCTCGGTTTTACTGATTAGTTATCAGAACCATGTTAAAAGTATATTATAATTAGGTACATTACTCATAAAAACGTACATTTATTTGTACTGTTCTTGCAGTTTCATTTGCGTGTATTGTCACTGCCCGTTTCTAAGGTTCGTAGACTTAATAGCCTTAAACGTTTCTCAATGAATACCTTTTTTCAATCCAAAGTAATGATTTAAATCCTATTGATAGTTACCGAAATAATCGTGCTTACACAAATAATAAAAAAACAACACTTCAACTTAACAATAACAAATAATAGTTTACGTACTTAAATAGCATGCTATCTATAGAAATAGTTTTTAGTAAAATAACAAACAAACTAAAATCTGACCTAGAAGTAAATATTAAAATTTAGCTATAAAAATAGTACGCATTTTGTAACGAACTTCCGTTTACGTGGAATGGACACAAGTCTGAATTAAATTTCACAACTTTCAAATAAAATAAAATAAATATTTTTATACATTAGGTACTTAATTAGTAACATTTTTTTTGTTTATCACTCTTCAATTTACAGTATGAATAACGGAATTTAAATGAAAACTGTATAATTTTAATTACTAAAAAATTCGTTCTTTTAAATTATTGGAATACTTAGGTAAATATATTTCTAAAAAAATATGTGAAGTTCTTATATTTTCTACAGTTGAGAGAATCTAATACTAAACCACATAGCAGAAGCGGAGCTCCTTTAATTATGTTACTTCAATTGAATACCTACTTTTAATTATTCCAAGTTTCAACATGTTAATTGACTTTTTTTTTTATTAAACCGGTTAAACTATTATATACTTAGTCTAATTAAACAAATGCACCAGGGACCTCCTTTCTAGGGTATACCTGGTTCGCCGGCTATTAGTACCCGAGACGGCGTGCGGTTTTAGTCGGTTCGGGTCCGACATGCCACCGATAGGTAGTATTCGAGGGGATTTCCGCACGGAAAAACAAAAGTCTAAATAAACAAAGAATTTAAAAAACATTGAAATGCGAATATCTTATTATAACCTTGATGCGGTAATGACCGCAATATGACCTAGAAACATAATACGAAGACAGAGTCAATCACAAGTGGTATAACCTTTATTTAAGAAAATTGACCCCGAGGTTGTTAACGATTAGTTTATAAATCTGTACTTTAAACTTAAGTACAGATTTATTAACTAATCGTTAACAATCCTCTGGGTCAATTAAAGATATTTAAAAAAAAACGGTAAAATGCATGTCAGTCCACGCACAGTGTAGGGATTCTTAGTAATAGGATTAACTACCCGTTTTAAATAAGTTACAGCTCAGTAAAAATAACCCGAGGTTACTTACCTAGTACAAAAAATCTCTGGACATAGGCCTCTCCTTAGAAAGAAGGTTTCTTGTAGGTTTCTAGTAGACCGAAATGTCTAGCTGTCAGTAAACACATTTGATAAATATTGCAAGTAGTACATTCTTATATTTTCACTTATTTACAGATAAATCCATACTTATATTATAAATATAAAACCGAGTCTTTTTAGGGTTCCGTACCTCAAAAGGTAAAACAGGGACCCTTATAAAATCACTTTCTTGTCCGTCTGTCCGTGTGTCACCACCGATTTTCTCAGGAACGAGTAGACCTATCAAGTTGAAATTTATACCATATGTTGAGGTCTATGGTCCCTATTAGGTGTATAAAAATCAAGTTCCTGAGTCAACACGATAACAAGATATGGGCAAATTTCGATTTTCGCGAAAATTTGTAAGTACCAAAATTTACCTTAATTTTCATATTTTTATATCATAGAAAATCTACGTAAAATCTGGGTAGGTAAAGAACCCTCGCCGGTTTTTTTAAATTCAAAAGACAACTCCCACACTAGGAATATATCCTGTATCGCGGGAGACTTTACAAACATACATGAAACGGACACAAAGAACACCCAGACTCAGAACAACAATTTGTGGATCACATAAAATGTCGTCCCATGTGGGGATCGAACCCACAACGCTCAGCGTAAGCGGCGTGGCGACCGCATAAACCTCTACGCCATCCGTGCAGTCCAGTTTGTTTGTTTGTTAAGCTTTCACGCCTAAACCACTAGACGGATATTAAAAATTCTCTCACTAATGAAAAACTACGTTATTAGCGAGTAACATAGGCTACTTTTTACACACACGCGGGCGGAGACGCGGGCAAACGCTAGTACTTATATACACATTCGCACAGGTATGTCTATTACCCCGAAGTGGTACGCATAGACATACAATCGCCTACTTTTTCCAACTAAATATAATTCTAGCCGCACTTACGTAATAGGGTGGTTAACTACCATCATTAAGTAAATTAGGGATTCTTATAGGGAAAGGTAGATAAGAATGGAAGGGAATGGCAGAAAAGGGATATTGTTTATACAGATGGATGGAAGCAATAGCAAGCAATAAAAGCTATTACATATTATGTAACCCATACTTCCATACTAATATTATAAAGGCGAAAGTGTGTCTGTCTGTCTGTTACCTGTTTGAGTCCCAGGAAAGGACCATAGAAATAGTTTTTATTCCAGAAATCATCCTTTAAGCGGGTGAAAAGGGGGATAGACGTTTGTATGGGAAATCATTAACCGCTAAACTGATTTAACCGAGGAGAAAAACTTGAAACAAACCCTATGGCCCGTCTGGCCAGCGTGGTATAGTAGGCCAAAACCTTTAGTACTTTAGGCTACTCTTATAGTGATAACCAACAAAACTAGGCACACCGGCAAAAGCTAGTATATTATAAATGTGAAAGTGTTACGCTTTGTTTTGCGCCAGGCTTTGTTACGCTGTGTTAAGTTTGTTTGTTACGCTTTTACGCCTAAACCACTAAAGTGATTTTAATTTTATTTTCATCTTTGGAAAGCTACATTATTAGCGAGTAACATAGGTTACTTTTTACAGCGATAGTCGATATACACGTGCAAAACTTAGTACATTATAAATAGGTTTTATGTTATACTGCTTATTAATGTTATTATTCGTTCTGGAATGTCTATTCAGGGAGGTTTATTTTAGTATTTGAATATTAAAGTCAAAAACTTTGTAACTGCCAATGAGAATGACGTCATAGAAACTTAAACCTTAGCAAAAATTTATCATCAACATTTCTCATCATGACTCCCAATTAGAGGATTCGATCCCGGGATCCCGGTCCTATTTTAGTCCCGAAATTTTCGGGATCAAATTTAATGAAGCCCGGGATTTTCGGGCTTGATACATTTTTTACATAAGTCAATACTATCTACGTCTAAGTCTATCCTACATAAGTCAATACTAATGGATTTACTGTATTTCCAACTCCTCCAATTTTCTTCTGATTAATTTCGTTGTGGGTTCCAAGACAGTTTAATTTCTTCCTGGGACTTCCCGAGTGTCATAACTCGGTGTGTTCGTGGGTCACTGCTGTGGATCCTGGTGTACAGGAATTACAGTGGTGGGCGTATGAGTGGGATTAGTCCCAAAAAAAAAGTCAATAAAAATGTGCGTAAAAAGAAACGCACTTGCCTTGATTTGATGTTTTGACAGCCATCTTGTCTACACAGCTGATTTTATTTGTTTTTGCTAATGACCGGTTCTGGATTATGTGTAAAAGCGTGTAATTTATAAAGTTTCTTGGCAATTTAATTAAAAAATATGAGTAGGTATCTATAAACATTGGTCTCTTAAGCATATAGTTTATTTTTTATAGTTTATCTAAATAAGTCTAAAGAAGTTGATTTTTTGAAGTTTATTGTTAGTTTCATAAATTATTTACCGCAACACAAAACAAACTAGGCACTAGTTTCTTTATTTTATAAGAAGGAAGTATAATTTTGGTTAACCGCCTTTTTGGAGATTGAAAACATAAATATTCTATGTCCTCACAAAACTAAATAATAAACAAAAAAAATATTTTGATATGTTTTACTGTCTTTTTGTTACCACTTTCCATTGTCAATACAATCCCGGGACTATCCCGGGATTCCGAGATTAACTGTAGATAATCCCGAAATCCCGGGATTATAAAAATAGACCGGGATCGAATCCTCTACTCCCAATGTCTATACTAACCGTTACATTTGAATGTCAGATGTATATTATTGCGTCTTGAAAGGTTGACAATGTAAATTGATTCTTAAAATCATAAAAGCGAAATATAACGTCATTTGAACGTCGCAGTAAAATTGTTTCATATATAATTAAATAAACTGAGTGTAAGATGAGGTAGGAAAAACGTAATTAAATGAATCTGTCGTATGTATAAGACAGTGAAAGAAATCCATATTAAGGTGTACACTGCATTAAATAAATGAGATTCAACTAACTTCTGGAAACATTTAACTAAATTTACGAATTTGCAGCCATACATTGTTATAAAGCCTTTAAACAATGATTACATGCTGTGTATATAAAATATATAAATGCTTATACACATTACATAAAAGAAAGAGAAAAAAAAGAAATTTAGTCATGTGTAATAATTTATTAATTGTCGAGTGATAATTATTCTCTTTATGACTGTAAAAGTACGAGGTCAATAGGTAAAAAAATAATGTAATAAATACTTGAGTGGGTTAAAATATGTTATTAATATGTCTGACTAGTTTCTTTTTATTATTTATTTAACACTTAAACAATATAGGTAAGTACAACATAAAAGTATTATTTTTTGCTACTGTAAAACCACTAAGTTATGGCATCTTCTTACCTTATTCTGACGTTATTAAAGAAGCATTACACTGAGAGCGGTGAAAATATCTTTGTGTCTTGTGTTATTTTTATTGTAAGATGATGAAGAGTGTAGAATATAAGCGCAGGATACAAGCTTGAAGGCTATAAGTACGCGTCCATTCTACACAATACTCTATAGAGCGCAGTTAACCAGCCATCCCCGAATCTACGATATTTTCGAAACGGTGCACAAAATAATAGTGCCCCCTTCCTCCAGGGTTTGAGGTAAATCACTTAAAAAACCTCACAAGTAATTTATCATGGTTGGCATTTTTCGTGATTATTTATTTATTTTTAATCAACTGTATTATGATTTTAGCGCACCCTGAAACTGCCACCCGGGGTGCCCCGGTTTGTCCCCCCTCCCCTCCTAGATCCAGGGCTGATCTGCTGGTGGTATATAGCTTAATAAACTGAGGTTAGGATTGGCAATGTATAACTTTTGAAACGAGTATGAACGTCATGCCGGTCGTGCGCTCGTAAATTTTAATTTTAGAAATAGAAATTTAATTACTGATGAGGCACTCGAGTATAACTAACTGTCACACTGCTGTTGTGTTAGTCACTACACCGACAACATAAATTATTCGTATCCCGTAAATACCGTTTAATTTCAGTCCAGTAAATCCGAGCCTCTGTGCTAGTCTCAGACGAATATCGATAAATATATGATTCGTATATGGTACAAAGTTAGCTAGTCTTGCTAACAGCTGTGGTTCAAGTCGGAATTGACCATCCAAATCTAGGGACCCAACTATGCTACCAAGGACACTTTGAATTGTGCATATTTTCGAAGCTGGAAATATGGAACTGCAATTGTCACAGGACCACTCAATGTTAAGGTTTAAAGGGGATTTTGGTAGGAGAATACCTACGCAATCTTTGTTAAAACATTTCAGTGCAGACAGGTTTGTCCCCAATTCAGTGCGATCTTCACATCGTGCACATTTACACCAAAACTCTTTTGTTTTAAAAAGTTGATATCTCCTCGCAGGAGTACACCACAGCAGTCCCGTATAACATGTCAGAATTTCTTCACCACTTTCAATGTCTTTTGCAGCATAAACAGACATACTGTAATCTTCTCTAAAAACATTTCTGGTATTCGGTGTACAACTGTGGTTTAAAAATGGCGATAATGGGTACAGTCCTCGTAATGATACCTTCTTATTTTGAGGACTGTTAGCGATCCTAAATGAGTTTAATTTCATTATGGAGTGAACAAATTTTAGAAATTGAATTTGGTCTTCGGGTATCACATATACTGAACATAACTTTTCAATGTCTTCAACGTGGGATTTGGTGCTACAAGTTTGTAATATTGATAATATGGTTTTGTGATGTTTCACCAAAAGTAAGAAACGTAAGTACATGTGTGCGGATTTCAGTACACCTGTTAATTCACCGCAATCGGGTTTGGCCTTCCAGTTATTTGTGATAAAATTACATTCTAATTGATGTTGTTGAGATGTTTTACAATTCTCACTGCAAGTAATCGAAGAACATTTTTCACAAGCGGAGCACGAATCACACAATTTGTAACATATGGAACAAAATAATTGATCGACACTGTCATCTCGTGGTGCTGTTACCAAAGGTTTATTGGTAAAAATAAGGCTTCCTTTTTCGATTGTCTGCGTCGCGTACAATCCCCTTCCTCCAAGATTAGATTTCTTTATCATCCATAGAGGTTGTAATGAGTCTTCAAGGTATTTCATTAATAATGTTGTCTCTTGGTTGGGCGTACAAGCCATGTTGTCCGTATTCCTGTCGAACCGTTAATGCGATGGAAGGCATGGTGGATCCTGCAGCGCGCCGGTCTGACTGACGGCGCAAATCTAATATCGATGTACATGACCCGAAATGAAAATAGCCACTGGAAATAATAAATCAGTTCACGTGTTGATTGTGACGTAATACATGATACATTGTGTTAAAAGAATGTTTGACAAGCTGTCAATAAGAATAGTGTAGATTTTTACCGACTGTGAATGAGGAGGAGAGTACTATATTTATTTTTACACATTATTTAAATTGTATTTAATTAGAGAATGTAGTTTATTTACACCTCTAGGTATTTTTTATATACATAGTGTTTTATAACGAACACAACCAGTAAAATATTATTATTAAACGGGTTGTTTAACTGGCATTGCGCTTGTTATTGTTTTCTTCTAATTTAATTTTAAATTAATTATGCCAATATGTGTGGACTATGAATATTTTCTACTGGAACAGACATATTGTTGACAAGTAGTAAATAAAAACTGAAAAAAAAATCAAGAATTTATTTTGCACATTACACAAGTCTATTTCTGACTTTAACTATAAAACCAATTTAAAGTTAATGTTAAATGAGTACCTAATGATGCTTTATCGATTTAAAATGTATTTGGTATAAGCCTCATCAATGAAAACATGGCATTCGATAGTTGACATTTAAATATATTTAGCTGAAGTAGTTAGTGTTTCTGCTTTTAATTGTGTACTACTTTTAATTTAACACTACATGTATAACAAAGTAATAATAATATTAAGAGTAAAATCTTGAACAACTGCAACTCACAGCTAATGTTATGTACAGATGGCGACCTTCTTCTAATTTTCGGTCTATTACAGGCAAATCTGTTCGGAAAGAATGATGAAATTACCTCTAAAAATAGTTATGCCTGTCTTTCCAACGCTATCCACGTGCCCGAGTGATATAAAATCGGTGAGTGGGTTACGGGTTAAGTGGTATTCTAGTCGCCGCTTCGAGTGTTGTAGGCACTTGTGGGTTCAGGTGTCTGTAGGAGAATATAATATAGATCAAAATAATTATGTTAGTAACTGATAGTTTTCACGTGCGCAAGTCTTTGATATCAATACTGCATTCTACCTATATTTATCTCTAACTATCAGTCACTAATTCAGTTTCTTCTAACATACTTGGCAATCATACTATCTTTTTATTTAACATTACACTGATAAAAACATTTTCAGTTAGGTATAAATAACTTAACGAAATCTATACATTTGGAGTTTCGTCAATCACACACGTCACACACGTCATAAACACATCTTTATCATAATTAAACTGGTCAATAGGAACTTATTAAGATACTAAATACAAAAAATGAAACAAAAGATGAAAGCCCAGTAGGCGTCATGAATTTGCTTAGAAATGTCAATCTCAAGACTACGTTTTCGCCGGAAAACCCGTCCCGTCCACACGCAGACCACACTCTATAGACCTATAAATGCCTATAAACGCGACTATAAACCTATAAGTGCGCTGTCAAAGTATGCGTGTGTCTGTGCACCAATGGGTGCAGTGCACTGGGTCTTTGTGAACTAAAGAGGTGGCTTACGAAGAACCTATCAGTCTAGAATCGTTGGTTTATATACACACTGCTTACATTAACGCTAACATATTCTAGATCCGGATATTTATTTACACAAGGTCGTGCTACGCTTGGCTAATATTCTTATTGCATCTAATTATTTCAACAAACACGTAAAGTACCGACAAAATGGCGGCAAGGTGGAAACATGATCTATTCTCAATGCTTCTGCAAAAATATCTTTAGTTAATTTGTATTCATGCTATTGTGATTTATAACATTACAGTTTTCTTGATTTTAAATAATTTGAGATTTTTTATCCCCTGCCTAAAAAAGTGTTTAAAGCTTTTAGGATTCACGTATATGAGTTTTTCTTATTGAACCACAGCTTCTATTTGACACACAGCCTGAATTTGAGGAAGGTTTCAAGGTCGTATCGGTCCGGAAATGCCACAAATAATAACTTGTTCCACAGATTGGTTGTGCAAGGTAAAAAGTGTATTGAAAAGCGCACGGTGGTCAAGTGCCAATTATTCAAGTGATGGTATGAAAATTGTGCTGTGGGGAAAGATGGCGGGAAGTTGCGGCCGGCGTTAGTCCGGACAATTCCTTCATGATTATACCTTCGACGGAGTGTGCAGAGTCAAGCTACATCTCTACGTAACGCCAAGGGATCGCCAGCCAGCCGGAGATCTTTTGGATTATATCGACGATTCGAGTCGCTCTTCGTAGGATACGATCCAGAGGGAGAAGGTGGTATTGGGGTGTTCCTGAACAGTATTCTATATCCGGCCAGGACCACATCCACCACGTTGGCCACATCGAACTACGACGACGTGATTTGAAGCAGCTTTCAAAGAAGCAGATCAGCAACAGTAGTAAACTCCCACAATGTTGATGACTAGGATTCCGATACTAGCTGAGGCAGTTAGGGAGATACTATAATCTGCAAAGCAATGGATGCTACTAGTTTGAAAATGTCATTGATGCCTAATGACGAATGAACAGTTAAATTAACGCAGTAAGAAGGTCTTAATAAGAAAGAAGTGTGTCTTATGAACAGCTTGTAAGGGTTTGGACATTTGTCTAAATGGGCTTCATTTGGTAGTTTCTTAAATATTAGGTATAAAATAATTTTGTGTGTCTGTCCGTGATACACTCTAAAAGCAAATAAATTTGCATAAGTTTATCACAACTGAATTCACACACACATTCACATAAGGATTCATTAATCCTCATGGTAAGGTAAATCTAGGGCAATCCAACCCTTAATAAAGAAGAATTATTAGATGTATACTTAATACTTTATAATCTTAAATCTTAAAAAAACTTTATGAAAACAAAAATCATCAGCAGCCTATTTGGTATGATTTTTTAAAATAACGGATACTGCGTTTGAATGAAAGCAATGTACCTACCATAATTATTTAGTTTATTTCCATGGTATCCGTTCTTATTTTTGAATGTATATTTCACACCATACAGTATATCGTTGTATAGTGTACAATTTAAGCAACATAACATATTTGTTACGTCATCTTTGCGATACTACTCACGCTATTAAATGACTTTGTTTTTCCACGAAAAAACGCCTGCTGAAATTATCTCACTATTTCGCTACGCTTGGTTTTATATATCGCAAAACTTATTTCACTTATATATATTATTGAAATTGCGAAATTGCTAAAGAATACGAAAACTCAGTAAAAGTTATAGTACCTAAATGCAAAATCTCCCTACTCGACCCCAACTCTTATGTCAAAAATGCAAACGTTTCCATATTATTAAAAAAACCTACAAAAACAGACATTCTTAAAATTATTAAAAACATTAAAACCAATAAATCTCCTGGAATAGACAAAATTAAACCAATAGACATTAAAATCACAGCAGAAAAGTTATCCTATGCAATTGCAAAATTAACTAAAGAAAGTCTGAATAAGAGCTCTTACCCAGACGAACTTAAGGTAGGCTTAGTTAGACCAATCTATAAAAAAGGACCACCTAATGAGTACAGCAACTATAGGCCTATTACTATATTACCTATAATTGACAAAGTAGTAGAAAAATACATTTGTAATGAAATTCATATCTTTTATAGACAACACCAAATTATATCAGATAATCAGTTCGGTTTCCAGCCTAAAAAGAGTACAACGCAACTACTCTCCAGTTTTACAGATTATGTAAACGGCAGATTAGATGAAAAAAAGCATGTTCTCATGGTCTTCATAGATTATAGTAAAGCATTCGACACCTTGAGGCATGACACACTGCTACAAAAATTAGAATGCAGTGGCATACGCGGTCCCCCTCTAGCTTGGTGTGCAGACTATTTAAAAAACCGGTCCTATCACGTAAAGATAAATGAAGACTTGAGTGAGCAGGTTAAAGTTGAGGGGGGAACAGCGCAGGGATCTGTACTAGGCCCTCTGCATTATCTTGCCTATGTGAACGACATGAACAACATCATAAAGACCTGTGTTGTTTATCAGTATGCTGATGATACCTGTCTCATTTCGGCTGATCGTGATATAGAAGTAGCGATGAATCGACTACAAACAGATTTCACGCTTCTAACAAAGTGGTCTCATGATGTAGGGTTAGTCCTGAATGCGCAGTAAACGAAACTGCTTCATGTGTCATCGATCTATAATAAAAAGTACAGTGGCTCAGACATTAAATTGATTGCCCATGATCACGACTGTTTGCATGGTAGAACAACTTAATGTAATTGCGAACGCCTTAATAAAGTTTCTCAAACCACGTATTTAGGAGTAATAATAGACGATAGGTTTAATTGGTCTGCTCAAATTGAAACTGTGTGTGATAAACTACGCGCCATTTTAGCAAAATTCTATATACTTAAATATAAAATACCTTTCCCTATTTTGTTAGATATGTATACAGCCTTAGCGGAGAGTATTATACTATATGGACTCAGTAGTTATGGACGGACATTTCCATCATATCTGCAAAAAATTCATTCCTTACAACTTCGTTTGTTAAAGGCTATTGTACCCAAAAAAGTACGTATACAATTTAATTATGATGATGAAAAATTGTTTCAATTTTGTAAAATAATACTCGTTCATGAGAAAGTAAAAATGGTGATAATTATAGAAAATTATTTTAAATTCAATAGTAATCTAAAAAAACACCCCATTATGACCCGTCAAATTGTAAATAAAATGCTAACTACCAAAACAACTAACAACTACTACGGCAAGCGAACTAACGACTACCTCGTACCAAGACTTATAAATGAACTACCATTAGAAACAAGGAATAAAATTTACTCAACATAAAACGAATAGTCAAAAATATTTACCTACCTGCAAACAGTAAGCTAAAATGAACCTATACAATTTATATAATTTATAAATAAATACATCTGATATATAATATATGCATATGCCTTTAAAATAATT